ATAGATGAGTGCAGGATAGTGACAGTATCAATGACAAGGCTGCTCAATCTGGCCTGAACAGAGTTGATGCCAACAAGGTGGCTTCAGGTAGAATCAAGCTGGATTTTGAATACTGCAGTTTCCAGTCCAAACTCTCTCCCTGCTATTGCAAATTTTCTTGCTGCTTTTATACTTCTTAATCACAGAATCACAGAGTGGCCAGGATTGGAAGGGACATCAAGGATCATGAATCTCCAACCCGCCTGCCACATGCAAGGCCACCAACCTCCACATTTAATACTAGACCAGGCTGCCCAGGGCCCCATCCAGTCTGGCCTTGAACACCTCCAGAGCTGGGGCATCCACAACCTCTCTGGGCAGCCTGTTCCAGCACCTCAACACTCTCTCTGTAAAGAACTTCCCCCTGACATCCAACCTAAGTCTTCCGTCCCTTAAGGTGACTTCTTTGTTTCAAAACTCTTTGTGAAGATTTTCTGTTGCTGTTGAATCAAATTAATGATCATCTTACTGTTTAGCATGTCCTTTTGGGAATGGGTGATAGTCTTCCTTTTTAATATGGTAGTTTGGGGCAAGCATCATTCAAGCAGTTTGTTGTGTTCAATCTATGTATACACACACTATCTAATTTTAAAATTGTGCGTTAGCAGATGTTGTTCTCCAAGTTGTTTGCTAAAGATGACCACTAAAAGCAATTAAATCTTCATTGCTGCTGGCATCAGTTTTAATTTTTTACTCAAACATTTGCAGGACAAAAAATTAACTTAGTTCTTCAGCCTACTTTGTATTTTTTCATGAACTTTTATTATAAACACAACAATAATCCTTTCTAATAAAAGCCCAGTGTGTTCCATAATAGGTGAACCATTAAAATTTGCATCTGTTCACTGTTACAGCTTTCATCCTAAGTTCACGAGCAACAACTGAGGCTTTCAGTCCCTGTGAACACTATATACTAGCGTTATCAAATATTTGTGACACTTGATATACTTGTTTTTCAAAGCATAGATGTTTGCATCTGCCTAGATCCTTTGTTTTCCATCATTTTGTCTGTTGTTTTTTGTTGTTTTTTTTTTTTTAATTTCTACAGAACAAGCAGAGATCATATGGTTGCTTAATCATCTAGGTGTCCATTTAACCAACAAGAACTCTGTTTGAGCTTCTCAGTAAGATGATACTTTTTGGCAGAGCTTTTATGCCAGCAGCATACAACTTCTGTCATCTCTAATGCTGGAAATTCATCCAACCTCAGCATTTTGTGTGGCAGTTCCAGTCACTTCTCCCTATTTCTTTACATAACGTAAAGGAAGTAGAAGTTAGTATGTTGAATGTGATATTCATTCAGTTTGATTTTAAGTGACAAAATCTTTAGCTATGCATTATCCAAGTTGTACAGAAATTCTGAGTGAGGTAGAAAGATTACTCACTTTCAAGGAAAAATCATAGAATCTTAGAATTCTCAGGTTGGAAAAGACCTTAAAGATCATAGAGTCCAAACACAGCCTAACCATAATACCCTAACTGACAAATCTCCGCTAAATCATGTCCCTGAGCACCACATTCGAACGGTTTTTGAACACATCCAGGGATGGTGACTCAACCACCTCCCTGGGGAGCCTATTTCAGTGCTTAACAAGCCTTTCTGTAAAGAACTGTTTCCTGACATCCAACCTAAACTTACTCTGGCACAACTTGAGGCCATTTCCCGTCATCCTATCAACTGTCACCAGTGAGAAGGGACCAACCCCGCTCTCACTGTAAGCAGCTTTCAGATGTTGGAAGAGAGCATTAAGGTCTCCCCTCAGCCTCCTTTTCCCCAAACTAAACAGCCCCAGTTAGTAGTAAAACTGCCCCCTAGGTAGTAAAACTACCTAGACTTTTGGGCATTCATATGGTATGTTGCCTACCAATGAAAACCATTCTACATTGTTTCAGCTTCAAAAAAAACCACTCCCACGTTTCATTTATCAAAGCAGAGACTTTATCATAGAGTCATAGAGTGGCTTGGATTGGAAGGAACCTTAAAGATCATCTAGTTTCAACTCCCAAAAGGAAAATGCGTAATAGATGGACAATCACTGATTACCCTCTTATTCAGTACTCTCTCAGTCATCAATATCCTTGGTCAGTTGACTGATCTGGAATGACAGTTGAATCATAGGGCTGTTATTTTGCAAGCTCCCTTACTGTGGTTTAGGTGAATTCAAAACCAGCAGAAGTAGTTTGTGTTAATTCACTTATAGGTTTTATTGTACAGATGCACATAAGACCCACAAAGATCCTGCTAGCTGTGTAATTGCTAACAATTAGCTAATTTTTCAAGGTGGATGTCTAGCAAACTCACCATTAACCTCAAACACATGAAAATTATTTCAGTTTTATTACTGTGTCAGTGGCCAAAAGCAGCATTTTACGTTTTTAGTATAATTCTGCAAATTATTCACCATCAGACATTCAGGCACATGTGATATCATATAAATTAGAATGTGGAATTAATATCTGTACCTAGTAGTAAATTAAGCAGTGTTGGTCCAAGCACTATAACGCAGTTACCAGTATGGTTACGTTCTTTGAAAGTTCTTTCACATTATTCTCACTTAGCACTTTCCAAGAGAATTAATGGATGCCATTGAGGAGTTTCTTTAGTCTAGAAGACTGTAGATTGGATGTGGCTCTAGCATTTACTATTACGTGTGTGTCTGGTCTCTGCTAGCTGGCCTCAATGTCAAAGGCTCTTGCACTCTTTAGCTAATTAGTATAAATGTAACCAGTGTCGCTGTCCTACAAAAAGTGACATCTGTGCATCTTCAGTAACAGATCTTCAACCAAAATTTCTGCAGTTCTGTTTTGACCACTGTGCTTGTAGAAGGTTGCTGTGTGTATTCAGATTCCTTAATTAAGGAATTTCCACAGTGTAATCCAGTATGCATACTCATAAATCTCAATGATTTTAGTATCATGCTCTGTGTGTAGCACTGTAGCACCATCTTGTGTGAGCTGCAAATGTGATTTCAGCATTTGTACTCAGGAACCTTCAAGTGTATCTGTAACAATTTCATTTAAAACAATTTAGATTTTGACAGTATGCTCTAAAAATCAATTACAGTGGAGTTTGAAAAAGTCAGACTTTCTCATGCATAGACTATAGCATCTATTGTAATACAGTATACTAAGTATCCACCAGAGATTATGTAAAGCTTCATTGTGGAGACGAGAACATGAAACAGCTCCCCCTTATAACACATGGCAGATTTTCATAATGCTGCATTCATTGAAGGTACTCCTTTGTTTGAATGCCCCATATAAATATGAGGTAGCAGATGTCACAATCTGAAGACAGTAAGTATGTATTATATGTGGTTTACACTATTAACATGCATAAATAAAGCACAGAGATTAAAATCTTGAGAAAAATGAGAAAGGGCTTCTAGGAAATATTATAAAATAGCTAACAGTAATAAACAGTAATAAAGCTTTTAAATGATAGTAGGTAGCAAATGGGGCAAGGACTTGAAAATCAACGTTCATAAAGAGTTGTGGTGCTTTCAGGTTCTGCATGTATGGAAGGATGCACATGTAGAGGCATTACTTTTAAAGCAGCTCTTGCATATCAGAAAAATGGAAAAATAGCTATGCTCTTTGCGTATACATTTGTAATCATCATCTTCTCCTTTCATTCTTTTTGAGTGAGGTTTGTATTTGGGATGGGGGTTTTTCCTTTATCTTTTGAATTGATAAAAGCAACCAGAAAAACAATTCTGGGGCTATTGATTATTGAGGGCAGACTGACCAAACAACATTTAGTGGTACATCTCTCATTATCTCTTCCAGCTCTGTACTTGAAATCTGTAGACTAAGAGGAGCATGGGTTTCTGCTTTTGCAGCAGAGTTTAGCCCACAAACATTACTTGCAGCTGCAGCTAATGCTGAATACCTTTAATTTTGCATGTTTGACCATTTATGCAGCCACCATGTCCATATAAAATATAAACATTGTGTCCTGAATTATTTCCACATAGCTGTGTAGAGGTCTTCATTATTTCCTCTTAACTAGTCTTCCATTGCACCCCCAGGGTACTTATTTTCACTTTGGGATATCATAAGGCCAGGGGCTAAAGTAAGTCAATATTAAACCAATGTGACTGCCTCCTACAGTTCATGCAGTTAAAGGAACTGAGAGTAAACAATTATTACCAAATTGAAGATGTTCACTTATACTATAGGTTCAATAGTATGAAAAGTTGAGAAATTGCCTAAAAATTTTAAAATGAACAGAGAGTGGATGGATGATAGATGACTTCCAAACTAGATCAGAAGTTTCATGACATGATTCCAGCACCAAGAACTGAAGGAGTTACAGGAGAATAAAAACCATTTGTATAACTGGTCTAAAATACCCCTGTGCAAGCCAAGTCACTTTCAGGACATCAAGCAATAATCCATTTGTGCTAGCATATTTTGTGGTTTTTTTACAACATGCTAGTTATATTAAAATCCTAAATACTGCAAACCCAGTGGAAGGAGAAGAGATGTGCTGTGAATATTTTGAATTTTACTATTCTGTATCCTGAATATTGATTAAAAAATTAAAATCCCTGCTTTAAGTTTTCACTTTTTGCCAAGAAACTGTCACAGGGAACGCATTCTAAAACTAAACAAAAACCTAAAGTTGTTTCAGGAATTATTTGAACTTTCTCCAACACAACACTTTTGTTCCCAATCTCTCTTTTTTCTGTATGAATCATACAGAGAAAACTGCTGATCTTTATTTAGTGCATAGTGCTATTTTATGGACAAAGTTGTGCTGATAGGCTGGAATCCAATTTTCCCTTACTAGGAAAAGGGGTAATCCTTTTTTTTTCACTTGCAGTTTATGCATTTTAGATAAATTATTCTGATATCTTTGTTACTGTTTTGTACTGCCTTTTATGAGTATTTTATTCAAGGATTTACTGTCCATGCAATTCAGTAATTTTTATTTGATTTGGTTTCTTTCACTGCAGGTAACTCCACAAGCCATCCAGTAGAAGTAACAGCACTTTATTCATTTGAAGGACAACAGCCAGGTGACTTGACTTTCAAAGCTGGGGACAAAATCATAGTCACAACCAAAACAGGCTCACAGTTTGATTGGTGGGAAGGAAGAATAGGAGGACAAACTGGCATCTTTCCAGCCAATTATGTTGCCATAAGTAATGACTAAATCGATAGAGAAAATGTTGAAGCAAAAATAAATTTACACTGAAACATGTATTTAAACTTTTCACATTTTAGCTAAATGAGGTTCTTGGTCAAGACTATTCCAGCGTAACATTGAAATACATTTAATGGCCTTAGCTTTCCCTTAAGCTTATTTCTTAAATAAATATTAGGTGATGGTCAATTTATGGTGAAGTTTCACTTTTGAGTCATGTTGCTGTATGAAAAGTACTCCCATTTGTTTCTAGTTTCAATTCTGTCATGCTGCATACTTTTATTTTTCAAATGAGGGAAAAGTTACAAACATTTTAAAACTAGATATGTCTCTTTCTGTAATAAATATTCTGAAATCTGCATCGAGTTATCTGAGTTGTAATTTTTCACTTTTGCTAAACATGCAGATACTTTTTGCAGGTATGGCATAGGAATTTACCTTTGCTTGGTATTAAAAGTACTTCCAGCGTTGCAGTTTTTCTTAGTAACTACTTCATGTGTAGTCTCCAGTGTTTGTCATTGTTAAACATGCAATTATCTTTCTTTCAAACAGCTCAGTATCAACTAAGCAGTTCAACTTCTCTAAAAACTTTTCCTATATTGCCCTCATCTTTGAAGAATTTAAGCGCTTCTAGAAGTTTGTTAAATAAAATGCATGAATAGTACCTGCCAGAAAAAGATACAGTCTTATGATGTCCATTGATTCCTATAGGAATTTGTTTTGCAGATGGGAAATGCAACAAAGAACATCCTTCTGGCTCACAAATGATCTTGTATAATTCTTCCTGCTTCTTCTCATTTAAGGTTGTTTGGTTTTTTTATATTTGATATTTGATCTTGTTATCTTTAAGGAAGCAGTAAGGTAGGGTAAATTATGAATAAATTATTGGTAAGAAGATATTTTTGTAGAATACATGTAATAGCAATGTATGTAGCACTGTAGCTCTCAGATTTCAACTTCTGAGTACAGGCCCCAGAGCTAGATTTCCATATGGAAAAAATCACACTGCAGTTATCCAGTATAAGCTGAAGCATCCAGTAGCAGAATTGTGCTGTAGTACTTCAGTAGTTATTTTAGAATGCTAGCTGTTTTTTCAGCCAGCATAGTTGCCTTTGTATAGGATTGTTACAGTTTGTTAGCTCAAGTGTCTGCTTCCATGAAACTCAGAATTTATGAACTTGCACATAAAAAGATTTTATGTGTATATTTTAGATATAAAATCTTATTGTTGTTTATGTAAATTCAGTTTCCTGGACTGACTGCTTCAGGAAAAATGAGGATTGTCTAATCTAAATGCTTGTGATAGTCTGTAGACTCTGGAGTATTGCACTAATTAATTACTAAATCCAATGTGAAAGGAAAATATTAAATGAGGAGTGTCTCTTATACTTCAAATTTTTTTTTTGTTCCTATAAATGCAATATAGGAGAGAATACTCAGTGATTAGCCTAATGCAAGGAATTATATTTATTGTCAAAAAGAAAACTCGAAGCAATACGAAACTGTATGGCCTGAGTCTATATGCCTTTGACATAAACTAGATCAGCCTGTGTCAGTGGGCTACAATTTAATGCCAAAAGTGCTTATAGTTACAGGCTTTACAGTAAAAAGCAGTCTTGCGTCATTTTCTAAACTAAGACATCTATAATGGACAAGTTGGTATATAGCAGGTTTTCTGCAGCGGGTTTTCTACAATAGGGGATACTTAATAATGAGTGCAGAGATTATGGCAGTGTATCTGCTGTGGTGTTGAGCAGGTCCAGTTCATCATCTTGTAACGTGTAAAGCAATGACTCTTATTGCTCAAGCACTGTTAATCAGACATCAGAAATTTCTCTGTATTACAGGTACCTTCCATACTGCAGACAGTCAGTCCAACTGAATCAGTCATCCTCAGTGATTTTCTCTTCTATTTCCCTTAATGTTGTGGGGGTCAGATGGCAGGTATTCTTACCATCAGGAATCCTGAAGAAAATCATCAGTATTGAGTACTAACATCTTGAAAAATGACTTACTTTATCTTTTAAAAGCTCTGTAAATTTCACAGTAGCTCTAACCTTGCTTATACAAATTCTGAAACCAGATTTTCACCAATTACATCAAACTTTATAGTCTTAAAACCATATTGCGTACATTTCTACCAATTCCATAAACAGCTTATGTCTATCTAATCATAAGGAGGAGGAAAAAAAAGATGTATGTAGCCTCAGCAGTAAACCTGTAACAGGATTGTCTGATCTTAAGGGAACTGAAGTATATCTTCCTATGTTGATTTGTTGCAGATACGTAGATCCACAGAACTTCTGAAATGTAGAACTATAGAATTTTCTTCAGTGTTTTCTGGATAGAGACAAAGCATCCATTTCTAAAAAACTTGGTCAGAACAATTTGAAGTCTTTTTTTTTTTTTCAGTAATCTAAATTTATCCAACACTTCAGTCCAAAAGTTCGTGGGAAACCATTTGCGAGTTTTTAATTGGTTCTTGCTCTCAATTGAGTTAGAAATATTGCAAATTAAAATTCTTGGGTTTTTCCCATGCCATAAGAAATGTAAGAAAATAAATAGCAAGCTGCAGTCTTCGGAAAGGGTTTTAGTTCATTTCACCCAAAATTAAGTGCAAATACTTGCCTAAATGTCAGAAGTGTATGAACTAGTGCATGCTAACTTTAATGCTGAATTCATATCCAAGTGTTCTTTTATATCTGCAATCCTTACTGTAATTCTTTCACTAGGTTTTATTTTTAACAGTAGAAATAATAATTTCTGTAGCTGTAAACTTCAGAGGAGTTCTGCCATCTGCCTCACTAAGATGAGTCTTGGAATCTGCCTTATAAAAACCTACTGACTTTGATTTCTTGTCAATGATTTTTGAACGTTGGCAAAATTCACCTTCCATTTAACCTTATGGAAAAGCCAAATTCTCTTTGCAGACTTTCTAGCCTTCATCTTGAGAATTTGTCTTATGCAAAAAATCTGCAAGAGCTTGAGAAAGAGTGCCAGGCACTGCCTAGATGAGATAAACACAGCTACCTACAACATGGAAGATCTACCTGCCTGAAGAACCAGGAATTAAGCCTAACCTTCCCATGACTTGCCTCTAAATGTTTGAGTAAAGCTAAAGAGTTAATTAGGTGGGGAGGAGGATGAGAAAAGAAAGAAAGACATAGATAGCTGGCTTTGGCAGCCTGCATTCTCACATCATTCTTGAAAATGAATGTTGTTCTGTAACATCAGGCATAGGCTCCTATAACAAACATGATTCGAATTCTGAGTTTCTGAACATACTGATTTCACAATATTTGCAAATATTTTTATGCCTTTGGTCATTTTTATTTTATTTTCCAAATGAAAATACTGGTCAGTTTTCCCCGAGAGCTTTATATCATTTTATACTTTTTTTTTTCTATTTAACATGTTATCTCTCCTAATAAATTCAGATGATGCTGTTGAGGGAGAGAAATAAAGCACCTGGATGCAAAGTTATTGTCACAAATTGACAGTTCCAGCTGTTTCAGGACATCTTTAATGAATTAATTATCAAATCTTTTCAGTAGATGCTATTCCTTAAGATTTTATTTCATACAGATATTTTGGGGCAAAATCAACTTTTCTTAAACAGAGACTATGGCTGTTAAAATACTGTTTTTAATTTGAGGTTTATATTCTGTGGTGGTCCTTTTTTCTGGAAACTCGTTCTGTCCCATTACCTTTTGAAACCTGTCTCAGGCTCTTACTTCCTCTGAGCTTGGTATTTACTTTAATGCGACTCTTGTATTTTCATGTTCCCAATTTTCTTCTTCCATATTTGATGTCAAAACTTAGGGCACAGCTTAGCCAGAAATTTGGAACACCTGTTGTTTATTCCAGGTTGGTTTTTTTTGTCAATCGTTAAGATTCTTACAGTGTGAACCAAGACAATCTGTTTTAAGATTTCTCAGCCTAAAATTGTACTTATAGTATCTTTTTGCATATCTGATTACATGCTTTTCAGGCTAAACCTTTGTCCCCTTGTGGCAGTGCTGAAAATACTTGGGCATGTGCCAGCTGATTTGAAATCATTTGGATTCTTCTGATAGCTTGAACTAGTCTTTAAACGTTAAACAGTTCTGCATTCTCTGAAAATCTCTGTTAGTTTGCTGACTTTACTGGGAGCCAGGCTGCTACTCAAATTACAGTGTAGTACAGATATTATTGATGTATTTATATGCTTCTGAGTACCATCCAAACAATATTTTCTCCATTTCCATCATGCACACAAGCCTGTGTCTTAATTTACCTTTCCATTAACTCACACTAGAAGAAAGCAGACCTATTTTGCATCAGTCCATGCTAATTATTTTCATCTATGTTATCATCTATGTCTTCTTCTGTTTAGTTAATGTTGTCATTTGAAAAGCTGTCTCAAACATCTCACATGTTCTAAGCCCATGTTCCAAGTTCTGAAGCGGTCCTGACCTTTGCAGATTTCTCTGTGATGTCCAGCATCTCTTCCTCTGTAGGCAGCTTGATGTATGGTCATGAATGAGACAGCTGAAGGAGACAGACTTCTCTTTTTGAAGACATCTAGTCACAATTGCTCTTTAGATAATGTTAAAATAATTTTCTAAATAAAACATAAAACCCTAAAGCTTTTCCTTTGTTATGTCCTCTCAGTGTTTGTAACATTATCTTGACTTGAGTAAAAGTCTATCATGATGTCAAGAATTTTACTCTTGTAGTAAGGCAATAAATTTCCAGGGAAAATGCTTCTGTGGAAAAGCATCCATTGCCACACTGCTGATAAATATTAAAAATGAATGTGTAGAGGAAGAGTATTCAGCACCAACCAACAGATCAGCTAGAGAGTATTTTTATTTTGGAAAATAGACCTAGGTTTGTGCCACCTACTTTCCTGTAGGCTTAGGAATGCTTCCTAGGCAGATCTCTGTTTTTCCAAAGCAATCAGTCAAGAAAGAGAAGTTACATGAAAAGCCTTCTAAAGTGAATTCTGGAGCCCGCAGTAGAGAAGACTGACTTGTTCCTTGAAACTATTATCCTTACATCATTTTCTCGCAAGTCTTCCAAATGATCTCTATGCATGAATGTTCTCATCTTGCATTTCAGTAGTATGTTTTTTTCTCCATGACCTACTAAATTGAGCAAGAAGACAAAATTTCAAATCCTATTAGTGAGAGTTTCCAAACTGGAAGATGAACTGAAACTGTGGATCACTGCCACTAAGAATTAAGAATGGAAAATCTAAGAAAGATGTGATTAAAAGCAACATCAGTTCATATCTACATCAAATACAGGAATTAACATGAGATATTAGTATTTGTTGCTAGTTTTGACAAATCCAA